TCCTTCTGTTTCAGCAACAAGCAACGCAAGTCGAGGGATTCAAGCCAATTAGGAGGAGTCATGTTATGGGACGCCCCACGCATGTCTGTTTCAGGTGTTTGAAGGGTCCGTCTGTTTCAACAATCCAAACAAGTGGGAGGAGACCAAAACATTTAGGGGAAGTCTTGTTATGGGATGCCCCGCAAATTAGAAGTATGCCCACCAATCAAAGCCCTAGGCGCCCCTAGACCCTAAACCCTGATTAATATTCATATGAATTTCAACTTTAGTTTGGTTATTCGTATAGGTAAAAGCAGTCTTGTTAACTTATTTAATTTTTGAAAAAAAACAACTAAGTGACTGTCCTAGCAGAGCGGCCATGATGAAAACGTTGCTCTTTCGGACCCTTCCTTCTCGTTGTACAAGTTCTCCGCACTCCCAGCCGCGAAAGGGCAGCACTTTGTTAACACCATTATGGCTTTGTACACCAAATGCCATGGAAACGGAAGGGACAGGGGATAAACCTCTGTAAACCTTTACTTCAAAAGTACAGGAAACAGAGAGATCAGAGGAGTAATGTACGCAGATGATAAGGTAAGAAGAGGGACCAGGATAATTTGTCACTCCATCTCCCCTCTTCCTTCCTCTCCTCCTTTTCTCGCAGAATGAGATATATAGGAAGAAATGGTGAGGAAGAACAGACTGAAGTGGAGAGGAAAACTACCTCTCTACCTATCCCTCTCTCTCTCTCTCTCTCTCTCTCTCTCTCTCTCTCTTTCTCTCTCTTTCACTTTCATTCTCTCATTCTCTATCTTCCACTCTCCCTCTCCCTGTCTCCAGAAACTGAAGAGCAGAAAGCAAGAGAGGAGAAAGTAGACATAGGCCCATAGGCGGGGGCATGACCTCTTTTTTGTTTCTGCTTTGTCTTTTATCCTTCTTCTTCCTTTTTCTATGAGAGCGCAGGAAAGGAAAGGAAAGGAGAAGCGGGAAAAAAGGCCCCCTCAGTCTTCCGGGAATACACGACAAGACAAGGAACGGAGAGCTTGTCGTTCCCCCCCTCCCTTGCTCAGCTTTGCCACATCGAGGCAGACAAAAAGGCAAGGAGGACGGGCGCACAAAAGGAGGCCCATTTGTGCCTGCCTTCCTTCTGCTCTTTCATTCCTTCCTTTTCCACTGTTGTCAGAAAAGAAGAAGCAAAGAGAAGAGACGAAGAGAGGAAGGTTTTGGAGAAGGGGGCGGAACCCTCTCCTTCCCTTGTCTCTCCCTTCCTATCGTTCCTCCCTCTTTCATTTTCATTCTCTCATTCTCTCTCTTCCTCTCTCCCTCTCCCTGTCCCTCGCTCTCCTTCCTCCCCCTCATGCGTTTTCTCAGTGATAAGGAGACGGGGAAGAAAGACTGGGAAAGGAACGCTCCCCCAGCCACCCCCCGTCGCAGACATTTCTTACGTATCAGAGTCCAGAAACTGAAGAGCAGAAAGCAAAGAGAGGAGAAAGTAGACATAGGCCCATAGGCGGGGGCATGACCTCTTTTTTGTTTCTGCTTTATCTTTTATCCTTCTTCTTCCTTTTTCTATGAGAGCGCAGGAAAGAAAATGAAACGAGAGGTGGGTAAAAAGGCCCCCTCAGTCTTCCCGCAACTCTCTGGGAAAACACGACAAGACAAGGGAACCTTTACTTCAAAAGAACAGGAGACAGAAGAGAACAGAGGAGTAATGTTCGCAGATGATAAGGTATGAAGAGGGACCAGATAACTTGTCACTCCATCTGCCCTCTTCCTTGCTGTCCTCTTTTCTTCTTCCTCTTCTCTCCTCCTTTTCTCGCGAATGAGATATATAGGAAGAAATGGTGAGGAAGAACAGACTGAAGTGGAAAGCAAAACAACAGAAAGTTGCCACGCCTTGCGGTTGCTCGCCTTTCCTCTTTATTATCTATCTATCTACCTACACCCTCTCTCTCTCTCTATCTTTCCTTTCTCTTTCACTCTCATTCTCTCATTCTCTTTCTTCCTCTCTCCCTCTCCTTGTCCCTCGCTCTCACTCTCCACTTCTCCTTCCTCCCCCTCATGCATTTTCTCATTGATAAGGAGACAGGGAAGAAAGATTGGGAAAGGAACGCCCCCCCCCTGTGGCGGACATTTCTTACGTATCAGAGTCCAGAAATCGAAGAGCAGAAAGCAAGAGAGGAGAAAGTAGACATAGGCCCATAGGCGGGGGCATGACCCCCTTTTTTGTTTCTGCTTTGTCTTTTATCCTTCTTCTTCCTTTTTCTATGAGAGCGCAGGAAAGAACAGGAAAGGAGAAGCGGGAAAAAAGGCCCCCGCAGTCTTCCCGCAACTCTCCGGGAACACACGACAAGACAAGAAAACGGAGAGCTTGTCGTTCCCCCCCTCCCTTGCTCAGCTTTGCCACATCGAGGCAGACAAAAAGGCAAGGAGGACGGGCGCACAAAAGGAGGCCCATTTGTGCCTGTCTTCCTTCTGCTCTTTCATTCCTTCCTTTCCCACTGTTGTCAGAAAAGAAGCAGCAAAGAGAAGAGACGAAGAGAGGAGAGGAACGAAGAAAGATTTGGAAAAGGGGGCGGAACCCTCTCCTTCCCTTATGTCTCCCTTCCTATCGTTCCTCCCTCTTTCACTTTCATTCTCTCATTCTCTCTCTTCTTCTCTCCCTCTCCCTGTCCCTCGCTCTCACTCTCCACTTCTCCTTCCTCCCCCTCATGCGTTTTCTCATTGATAAGGAGACAGGGAAGAAAGACTGGGAAAGGAACGCTCCCCCTGCCACCCCCCGTCGCAGACATTTCTTACGTATCAGAGTCCAGAAACTGAAGAGCAGAAAGCAAGAGAGGAGAAAGTAGACATAGGCCCGTAGGCGGGGGCATGACCTCTTTTTTGTTTCTGCTTTGTCTTTTATCCTTCTTCTTCTTCCTTTTTCTATGAGAGTGCAGGAAAGAACAGGAAAGGAGAAGCGAAAAAAAGGCCCCCGCAGTCTTCCCGCAACTCTCCGGGAATTCACGACAAGACAAGAAAACGGAGAGCTTGTCGTTCCCCCCTTCCCTTGCTCAGCTTTGCCACATCGAGGCAGACAAAAAGGCAAGGAGGACGGGCGCACAAAAGGAGGCCCATTTGTGCCTGTCTTCCTTCTGCTCTTTCATTCCTTCCTTTCCCACTGTTGTCAGAAAAGAAGCAGCTAAGAGAAGAGACGAAGAGAGGAGAGGAACGAAGAAGGATTTGGAGAAGGGGGCGGAACCCTCTCCTTCCCTTATGTTTCCCTTCCTATCGTTCCTCCCTCTTTCACTTTCATTCTCTCACTCTCTTTCTTCTTCTCTCCCTCTCCCTGTCCCTCGCTCTCACTCTCCACTTCTCCTTCCTCCCCCTCATGCGTTTTCTCATTGATAAGGAGACAGGGAAGAAAGACTGGGAAAGGAACGCTCCCCCTGCCACCCCCTGTCGCAGACATTTCTTACGTATCAGAGTCCAGAAACTGAAGAGCAGAAAGCAAGAGAGGAGAAAGTAGACATAGGCCCATAGGCGGGGGCATGACCTCTTTTTTGTTTCTGCTTTGTCATTTATCCTTCTTCTTCCTTTTTCTATGAGAGCGCAGGAAAGGAAAGGAAAGGAGAGGCGGGAAAAAATGCCCCCGCAGTCTTCCCGCAACACTCTGGGAAAACATGACAAGACAAGGGAACCTTTACTTCAAAAGAACAGGAGACAGAAGAGAACAGAGGAGTAATGTTCGCAGATGATAAGGTATGAAGAGGGACCAGATAACTTGTCACTCCATCTGCCCTCTTCCTTGCTGTCCTCTTTTCTTCTTCCTCTTCTCTCCTCCTTTTCTCGCGAATGAGATATATAGGAAGAAATGGCGAGGAAGAACAGACTGAAGTGGAAAGGAAAACAACAGAAAGTTGCCACGCCTTGCGGTTGCTCGCCTTTCCTCTTTATTATCTATCTATCTACCTACACCCTCTCTCTCTCTCTCTATCTTTCCTTTCTCTTTCACTCTCATTCTCTCATTCTCTTTCTTCCTCTCTCCATCTCCTTGTCCCTCGCTCTCACTCTCCACTTCTCCTTCCTCCCCCTCATGCGTTTTCTCATTGATAAGGAGACAGGGAAGAAAGACTGGGAAAGGAAAGCTCCCCCTGCCACCCCCTGTCGCAGACATTTCTTACGTGTCAGAGTCCAGAAACTGAAGAGCAGAAAGCAAGAGAGGAGAAAGTAGACATAGGCCCATAGGCGGGGGCATGACCCCCTTTTTGTTTCTGCTTTGTCTTTTATCCTTCTTCTTCCTTTTTCTATGAGAGCGCAGGAAAGGCAAGGAAAGGAAAGGAGAGGCGGGAAAAAAGGCCCCCGCAGTCTTCCCGCAACACTCTGGGAAAACACGACAAGACAAGGGGCACGGAGAGCTTGTCGTTCCCCCCCTCCCTTGCTCACCTTTGCCACATCGAGGCAGACAAAAAGGCAAGGAGGACGGGCGCACAAAAGGAGGCCCATTTGTGCCTGCCTTCCTTCTGCTCTTTCATTCCTTCCCTTTCCCACTGTTGTCAGAAAAGAAGAAGCAAAGAGAAGAGACGAAGAGAGGAGAGGAATGAAGAAGGTTTTGGAGAGGGGGGCGGAACACCCTTCTCTTATCTCTACCTTCCTATTCTTTTCATCTTTCCGGCGGTTCCTTCCATAACTTGGACTTGTGAGAAAGCGACGAGAGGCCAAGATCAGGGGGGTGACTCGCTATTGTGTTACCTCATAGTTGTTTCATTTTTCTTGAAAAACAGAAAGGCCCCCTCCGACTTGTTTCCAAGGATGAGTGAGTTTGCTAAGCCATAAACCCAACTTAAACTCTGACATGCTTCAGGCATAAAGCATTCAATGGTTTTAATAGGGAAAGAAGGACAAGACCTCACATTATACCTAAAGGTCCATGGCACATACCCTCTATACCCTCTATGCCCCTCTGTAATACCCTCCCCAAAACCCTACAAGCCCCCCAAAACCCTAGCCCCCAAGCCCCTACGTACTCAGAGCGCTGCAAGGAGCGGCCGCCGGACGAGCAAGTCAATACCAAAGGCCATTGAGTGCGTTTAGGGTCCAGGGAAGGGGGGCAGGGTTTAGGGTTTAGGGTTTAGGGTTTAGGGTTTAGGGTTTAGGGTTTAGGGTTTAGGGTTTAGGGTTTAGGGTTTAGGGTTTAGGGTTTAGGGTTTAGGGTTTAGGGTTTAGGGTTTAGGGTTTAGGGTTTAGGGTTTAGGGTTTAGGGTTTAGGGTTTAGGGTTTAGGGTTTAGGGTTTAGGGTTCCCGCCTTTTGGTGCCTCAAAGTAGCCGAGCAAGGGGGGTTCATCCGTTTGGGTAGGGTAGGGGGCTTGTGAGAATTTGCGTTTTGTTGAGTTAAGGGTCGTGAGGGCTTGGCGTCTAGGATTTCGGTACCTGTAAGCCCTAGGCCCTAGAAGCCCCCCCAAGCCCTAACTGTTCTAAAGAAGCCGAAAACTCTACGTCCTGTTAGTTTCAAACGCAGGCCTTGACATCCTGATAAGCAACCCTATCAAACCCTGACAACCTCTGAAAAGCGCGAAACGCTTTACAAACCTCTAAAGCACGTTAACCCCCCTACTTAAACTTCTCCGAACCCCAAAAAACCGATGCAGACCCGATTATTGATTGAAACCTTCAATCTGAACCCGAAAACCTAAGCCCCAAACCCTAAACCCTAAACCCTAAACCCTAAACCCTAAACCCTAAACCCTAAACCCTAAACCCTAAACCCTAAACCCTAAACCCTAAACCCTAAACCCTAAACCCTAAACAACCCTAAACCCTAAACCCTAAACCCTAAACAACCCTAAACCCTAAACCCTAATCCCTAAACCCTAAACCCTAAACCCTAAACCCTAAACCCTAAAACCCTAAACCCTAAACACTAAACCCCGAAAAGCCGCCCCACGACGCCCGCTTCAGATGCCCTTGGAGCGCGGGTACGCGCCGAAGGTAGCGCTGCCGCCCGCAGTCCCGAAGGCTGGTGCCTGGGTGGGTTTAGGGTTTAGGGTTTAGGGTTTAGGGTTTAGGGTTCAGGGCTCATGGGGATTTAGGGTTTGGGGCAAGGTTTTCCGGTTTAGGTAGCAAAGGGGTTTGTAGGGCGGTCTAGTTTAGGGGTGACGTAAGGGGCTGGGCCTACATACAGAATGGTTTTGAGGGACACTCACATGGGCATAGGGTTTATATGGGGTTTAAGAGGCTGCTAGAGGTTTGATTGAGTCATATATAAAACACCTGAACCCCAAACCCTAAACCCTAAACCCTGAACCCTAAACCCTAAACCCTAAACCCTAAACCCTAAACCCTACACCCTAAACCCTAAACCCTAAACCCTAAAAACACATGTTTTTGTTTCTTTCTTTACCTTTCACCTCAATGTTTCGGCCCCTCGAGTCGGTCTAGGGATCGAGGGTTACCAGCCCTGACAACTGCCTGTCCTCAAAGCCCCAACCCCCGAACCCCGAACCCTGAACCCCTAAACCCGAAACCCCGAACCTAACCTAAGCCCTTAACCCTCCCCCAGCCCTCCTAGCCCTAAACCCCAAAACCCCCCAAACCCCTGAACCCTAAACCCTTGCAGCCCTACAACCCCCAAACCCGGGTAGGCGAGCCCAGCTCCGCTGGGACACAGCCCACCGCCAGCGAAAGTGCCTGCCGTGACTCCTTCGCCGGCCCCGCTGTGGCCCAAGGCCCTGAAAAGGTTTAGGGTTTAGGGTTTAGGGTTTAAGGTTTAGGGTTTAGGGTTTAGGGTTTAGGGAGCTCGGGGTTACGGGGTTTTGGGAGCTTGGGGTTGTGGGGGGGCGTCGGGCTTACGTAGGGGCTTTAGGGCTTGGGGTTTCGGGTTTAGGGTTTCGGGTTGGTTTAGGGGGCACCAACTTGGAATGCTTTCCGACTTCCCCATGTTTTAGCGATAGAACCGAAGGTTGGGATCTGGGGCCGCTCGGGGTTTAGGGGACCCTAAACCCTAAACCCTAACCCTAAACCCTAAACCCTAAACCCTAAACCCTAAACCCTAAACCCTAAACCCTAAACCCTAAACCCTAAACCCTAAACCCTAAACCCTAAACCCTAAACCCTAAACCCTAAACCCTCAACCCTGAACCCTGAACCCTAAACCCTAAACCCTAAACCCTAAACCCTAAACCCTAAACCCTAAACCCTAAACCCGAAACCCGAAACCCGAATCCCGAAGCCCGAAACCCTAAACCCTAAACCCTAAACCGGGCGGACGTAGGGGACTTCGGATCCTCCTCAACCCTTCATGGCATAGTTCCCGAGCCGCCTGGGGGAGGGCAGGGTCATGAGATTCTACCTTGGAACACTAAGGTTGTGCCCCGGATTGGTTTGGGGACCCTTGTTCAAGATTTTTCTAAGGGAATTCAAGGGCCATATTTTGGGATATTCCCCCTTAGACTAGCAGTCCTTTGCAGGGATAATTTTGGGGGAAGCATCCCAAAGTCTGTCAATTGAGGGAAACCTCCCTAAACCCTAAACCCTACACCCTAAACCCTAAACCCTAAACCCAAACCCCAAACCCTAAACCCTAAACCCTAAACCCTAAACCCTAAACGCTAAACCCCAAACCCTAAACCCTAAACCCTTTTAGGGGCACATCCTTAGGGGTCCGAGTCTGACTCCCTTGACAGGGTTCGGTCGCCATAAACACCCCAAAAAGCTCCGAGGCTCTCTCTGAACCCCAAAGGGCCCCCAAGCCCTGGGGGTTTAGGGTTTAGGGTTTAGGATTTAGGGTTTCGGGTTAAGGGTTTAGGGTTTAGGGTACAGCCTGATTGCAGGACTCGAGCTCGCGATTGTGCGGGCCTCGGCGATGTGGCAACTCCCGAAGAGCCTGCTACGCCTCAGCTCCGGAATCCACCTTGAAGTCATATTGAGGACCCCAAAACCCCAAACCCCAAACCCCAAACCCAAGACCCAAAACCCAAAATCCAAAACCCTAAACCCAAAACCCTAAACCAAAAACCCAAAACCCTAAACCCTAACTCCCTTTTTTGGGTTCCTGGGTCATCCCCGAGGTCCGTCTACAGCGCCGGCTATCAAGGCATGCGGCCCTACATGGAGGCCCGGCTGGCCGCCCCGCGCGCTTGCTTTGTTTCTTTTGTTTGTTCCGAGGTTCGCAGAAGCCCCTACGCCTTGAACCCTAAACCCTAAACCCTAAGCCCTAAGCCCTAAACCCTAAACCCTAAACCCTAAACCCTAAACCCTAAACCCTAAACCCTAAACCCCTAAGAACTAAACCCCAAGCCCTAAACCCTCAACCGTAAACCGGGTTTGGGAATGCAAAACTCCCAAACTCCAAAGACCAAACCCAAAACCCCCAACCCTAAACCCAAGACCCCCAAACCCTCAACCCTAAACCCCAGACCCTAAACCCCAGACCCTAAATCCTGAACCCCAAACTCTAAACCCTGATTCCCAAGTGCGGACAGGATCGGGCGTGCGGCCAGATTGCGATACCTGGCTTCCCGAAGGCCTAACCGCCGGTGCCGTCGGACGACAAGTCAGCTTGTCGGGTTTAGGGGCTTAGGGTGTGGGGTTTCGGGGTTTCGGGGTTTTGGGGTTTTGGGGTTTAGGGTTTGGGGGTTAAAGGGTTTAGGGGTTTAGAGCTTTAGGGGTTTAGGGGTTCAGGGGTTCATGGTGTAGGGTTTGTGTGTACGTATAGGTTTTAGGACCTAAGGGGTTCGGGATCCATTGCAGGCACGGAGGCACGAAGCTTCGAAGCCCATTCCCTCACACCCCCATTGCGACATCTCGAAACCGACGCCCGCAGAAGCACCGATCAGGGTTTAGGGTTTAGGGGTTTAGGTTTTAGGGTTTAGGGTTTAGGGTTTAGGGCAACGAGGACGCAGAGTAGGCCCTTCTTTCAATCTTTTTGGGGTTTAGTTTCCCTTGAAACCCCTCAAAACAGGGCACTCTTACTCTTGGGATACTCTCGAGTCGAGTCATCGGACCATTGAAAAGAAGGAGTTTCGTATCTGAAGGGAACCCACTGGTTCTCAACTCATGATAGAACTGATAGTTTAGGGGATTAGGGGTTTAGGGTTTAGGGTTTAGGGCTTCGGACAGAACTGATAGACTTTTTCGGGAAACTAGATAGACTGATCAAGAATCGACGACCCAGACCCTAAGCCCTCAACCCTAATACAATGGGCTTTAGGTCTGTATTTGCAGATCGAAGTACTAAGTAGGGTTCTCGCCATAGTTGCCCTACTTCTAGCCCTACTTGTAAGTGCCCCTAAACCCTAAACCCTAAACCCTAAACCCTGAACCCTAAACCCTAAACCCTAAACCCTAAACCCGAGATGAGGGAGCACCTCGAGCGACATGGAGCAGAAGGGGTTCTTCCTGAACTACGCTGGGGAGTTCGTCAATGGGTGGAGGAGGAGAAACGGGGTGCGCATTTCATGTTGCAAATACTACGCCGCATTGAGGTGGAGGTCCTTGGGTGTGGTGGGGTGGAACTTCCCCGTGAACGGCGACCTCGTGACATCATGGGAGAGACGCGGGCTGTAACGTGGGCGAGGCAGTTCCGGGAGAGACTGGGGCGCATCGCCAGGAGAGAAGCGCAAATTTCAGCGCCGAGACGTGCTGGGCGATCACGCTCACCGAGGCGAACCACTGGGGAGGCGGCTACTTCAAGCGGGGCGACGTCGTCCGGGACTACGCGCACAGACTTGGTGGATGGTGGGCTGGAGAACGGGGCGCCTGTGGAACATGGAGTGCTGGCGGTGGCAGATGGGATGATGGCGATCGAGGATGGGGTGCTGGCGGTTGAGGATGGGATGCTGGCAGTCGCGGATGCCACGTTGGACACTGCTGGGGAGGAGGAGAGTGGATTGGAGGAGGTGACAAGACGTGGAGGTGATGGGGAGGATGACAACTCCGACAGCGACGCCACGGTCCTGATGGTGATGCCACTGCCTGGGTTGTGGACTACGTCTTTGCCATGGGCTACGTCTTCATCCTCGCCGTGGACTACGTCTTCCCGCTCTTTGCGAACCACAATGGGCGGTGGAGGAGGTGGTGAAAACCATGGGGTGGATCGTGCAGATGAAGAATGTCGCCCGGGGGGTGATGGTATGGGTGGTCGTGATCGTGGTCGTGTCCTGCCTGTTCGACTGGGGGTGGACTATGAATGTGAGGAGGGAGAGGAGGAGTAGGGAAGCTGTTTCACAATACGGACCGGACAGCATTATTGCTGCACGCCAGTGATTCCGGTTTTAAAAAAAAACCCTAAACCCTAAACCCTAAACCCTAAACCCTAAACCCTAAACCCTAAACCCTAAACCCTAAACCCTAAACCCTAAACCCTAAACCCTAAACCCTAAACCCTAAACCCTAAACCCTAAACCCTAAACCCTAAATGCCCATGAACCTTCAGGTAGGTCTGTAATGCGTTGGAGCCAGTAGGGGAATTTAGGCTTGTTTGGGCTCCTGAGTTGCCTCAGGGTTCTTGGCTTACGGGGCATTTAGGTGAACAATACCTGGGCGAATTGCTAGGTTTAGGGTTTAGGGCTTCCCCATATGCTATTATTCGTGCGAGCTACCTATAGCTGGTCCCTCCCCGCTTTCCCGCCGCCGCGCCTCCTCAGCCATGCCCTCTACGCGACCTTGTCCGGACGAAGACACACAGACAGCTGCTTTCCGGGCTTGTCCGCGCCTGGATCCTACTGCCTTCCAACGCCTCATTTCCGACGTTATGTGGGCGGCCGAGCTCTTATCCAAGACTCTGGCCGTCTGTTGGGAGTGAGGTCTGCTGGCTCTACTGACAGCAGTCAGTGGCTTAGTTCCCGCAGACCGCATCGAGCTGACACCCTCCATGAGCATACCTTCCTCCCTCTGGATCCTCTTGCACCTGGGTCTACCAACTCTTCTGGGTCACCCGTGTCGTGGCTGAAGCTCTAAGGCTCATGTTTCGCCCTCAATGGGACAGCGAGATGCACCGTCATCGCCAGCTACTGGAGGCCATGCCCCCAAACGGCCGCGATGAGAAGCCCGAG